ATATAGCCAACCCACGACCCCTGGTTGCCCAAAGGCCATCCAAGGGGGTTCCTGATATAAGGGCACATCATCGTCCAAGCACAAAAAACCCCATCAGGTGCATACGAATATGATAGTCTCCAAGCAACCAAAAAATAAGCAACCAGATCAAGGCCAAATTCCTTCCAGCCTCATAAATGAGCCATAAAATGCTGAGAATTTTTCCACTTGTTGATTTTAGTAAACACCACATTTTTAATTCTTAAAGAAATAGTGACAACACAAAGCATTTTGTTGTCATATCTCCTCTCATTTCTTTCCTTCCAAATGTGGTAAATAGAGCTGCAGAAAATAACAAAATAAAAGCATTTAGTGCCATTCGAGAGATTATCCTTTTCAAAAATCCAGCTCATAAGGTGTAAAATACTTGGTCTGAGAAGTAGAATAGAGGTGCTCAGAATAAGACTCACCAAAACCTCATGAGAAAAATTGCATTCAAAAAATAAATGAGATGTGCTTTCATTGTGGGAATGGCAAAGAGGGCACCCCGGGTTAATATGTATATTCCTAAAAAGTAAGGCGTCAGCCATTTTAAGCCCACCAACAAGCGAGAGCCAAGCAAAGGATGAAAATCTGGGAACATTCTTTTCTTGCCAAATTTGTTTATACCACGAGCAAATGGGTAGGTCTTGGTAATATTTCAAGAGGAATTTGGAGAATTTGCCCACAGTACTGTCTTCCCAAAAAATAGGTTTAGGAGAGGTCACAAAAATGAAAGTAGCACGTATGACATTAGCAATAGCCTCGGGAATAAGCTGAGGGATAGACTAGCAGTTACCAGCAATCAACTCATCCAACCTGGCATTTAAATCATAATATTGCATCAAATCATTCCCACTAGGAATATTGGAAAGTTGAGTGTTGTTACACCAATGATCCCAAAAAATGGAGATATTGGAGGAAGGATTAACCTTGAACAGAAAAGGTCTAACCAAATCAGCAAAAGAACATAAGGCCTTCCAAAAAGGGAAGCCAGAGACTGAGAATGGCCTCTAAGGAGAATGATATCTCTGTGTGAACCAGCTTGAAAGGGGAGAAGAATAGTTATACATTATGCTAATGATCGTGCAGTTGAAAGCAAAAAATAATAATAGGAATAGATGGTAACCCCAAACCACCATAACATTTAGGCCTGCAAACTTTATCCCATGAAACCATTCTCCTCAACTTCTTGACAGCCAATGCATCACCAGAAAAAGAAATCTGGAAGAAATTTTCCTGATATAGTTAATAAAAGTTTTGGGTATGATAGAACTCCTGATCTAATAAGCAATGGTGTTTTGAATGGTGTATTTCAAGTATTGAAGACGTCCAGCAAAGGAGAGTAAACTAGCTTTCCAACCATTTATTTTTTTATTGAAAGTATCCATCAGTGGCATGTAATCAGCCACTAGAAGCCTTTTGAAAGATAGAGGAATGCCCAAATAAGAAAGCTTGTGGCTGTGGTTTGTGATATTTAAAGCAATGACAAATAGCATGATGATTAGCTACATTGTTAGGAAACATAACAAAGTTTTTCTCAAAATTAACATGTCGACCAATGGCATTGACAAAAGAAGTTAGAATTTAAATGAGTTTATGACAATTTCCCACTGTTGAGTTGCCAAAAATAAGAAGATCGTTATCATAAAGAAGATGAGTCAACTTGAATCCATCAATGTTAACCCCTTCAAACTCACCACTACCAAGTAATTCAGAAAGAGCATCCATGACAATGAAGAAAAGCCCCATTAATGAGAATAGAAAAATTGACATCCGTGATGCACGCTATAACTCAATTGATGAACTTGCTAGGGAAACCTTTTTGGACTAACCGACCAAGGAGAAATTCTCTAGATACCGTATCAAAAGCTTTACGTATGTCCAACTAGGCACAAAAAAATTTTATGACCACCTCTTTGACAATTCAAGGAGAGAAGCTCATTAGCAAGAATTCTGTTTTCAGTGAAAATTCTAGCCTTGATAAAACCGGCTTGATTGTCTTTGAAGATCAAAAGCATGAGAGGTTTAAGTCTGTTGGCCAAAACTTTAGCAATTATCTTGTACAAAACATTATAAAGGGTAATAGGTCTAAAATCAGAAAAAGAGGTAGCATGCTTAGATTTTGGCACAAGGGCAAGAACAGTGGATTTAGCACCACTCAGCAGATAGCCACTAGAGAAAAATTCTTTGACAGCCTTGCAAACTAACGGTTCGACAATGTGCCATCCAGATTTATAGAAGTAAAAGTTATAACAATCTAGACCAGGCGCTGAAGAAGAGGCCCCCAAAAATATAGCTGGTTTAATTTCATCATCAGAAACAAACTGAGAAAGGTTTTGAGACATAAAATAAGTGATGCAATTTCCCATAGGAAAATAATGAAAGTCATGAGTTGTAGGCCGAGGAGGGTTGAGCAAGGCTTTAAAATGCTCAACGATAGAATTGATAGTGCCTTGCCTTGAAGAAAGAGAAATAGTGGATCCCAAATTGAGGATAGCTTTATTTGAGCTTTGCCTAGCACGTATTTTAGCATATAAAAATTTCAAGTCGTCTTCACCTTGGGATAACCACTTAGCTTTTGCACGTTGTATGGTCCAGAAGGCTAGCATATGAGTGAAATCAACAAGTTTCTGATTAATATCCTTAAGATTCGCATTAAGCATTTGATTGAGAAGATCAGAATTGAGAAGATTAAGGCAATCAGATTGCAAAGTATTTAGATCAACCATATGTTTTAGAATAGAAGTGGAGCTGGCCCAATCCTTGCTTTTTATATTATCTTTGAGGAGTTTAAGCTTACAGCTGAAATCCAAGATGGGATTGCCAGAAGTGGGATACGAAAATACTTGGAGCACCAAGTCCCAATACCTATCAAGCTTAGACCAGAAATTTTTAAACATAAATCTGTGCTTGAGAGAATTAGGCATACCTGGATGAAGAATAATAGGGCAATGGTCAGAGCAGGGTGGGGTTTGGAAGGAGCAAAAAGAGTGAGGAAAGGCAGACTTCCTTTCCTCATTCACTATAGCTCTATCCAATTTAATATGGAGAGGATTATCCAAACGTTGATTAAACAAGGTGTAACAACTTCTAACATAATTGAGGTCATTCAGTTTGACATCAAAAAACAAGTGGTTAAGCTCTCAAAGGTTGTTTTTAGTCAGCAAGGCACCACCTTCTTTTTCATGAGCAAAACGACAACACTTGAAATCTCCCATGAGGATCTAAGGAGTAGGCTGAGTAGGCATAATCTGCCAAATGTGATTCCATAAAACATTCCTTTTAGAAGAATTTTTAGAAGCATAAATGATAGCTAAAAGAAATCGAGAAGAGTTACCAACTGAAACTTAATTAGAGATATTTTGATCCGTAACAAGAATGGGGATAAAAGACAATTTAGCAGGGTTCCATTTGACCCAAATGCGAGCAGATTTAGATTTATCAAAGTTGTTGCAACTATCCTCTATAGTAAAGACAGAGTGAGTAGTACTAAAGAAAGGGTCTTAGAGAGCGACAGCATTAATTTTGTTCTCCAAAATACACACCATATCAAGCTTAAACTTAGTAACCAATTGTCTACAGCATAACACTTTATCAGGGTTATTAAAACCCCTGATGTTCCAAACCGCAATATATGGAACCAACATTAGTGTTTTGGGGTATTAGGGGGCTTTCAGCCCTTCCCCCTAGCAAGCTTTTTCCCCGTATTGAGATTAATAGGAGAATGGAATTCAGGAGAATGATGACCATGAGAGAAAGAAGAGCTGGAAGTAGAAGCAGCATCATCAATGGGGGAGTTTAGGTTCGGGATTGCAGGAAGAGATTCCACTTTCTCAATCGTGGTAGTAGAGGGCTTGCTATTTAGAATAGTTTCATATAGAATAGCAGGGACTTGTAATGAAGTCGGGTCATCGTCAATAGAAGCAGTAATTAAATGTTGTTGAGGCTTAGACTTGTCTGTTACATTATTGACCAGAATTATAGGGTCCAAGGAAAAACAAGCAATAGAAGAATCAACACCAGCGGACATATGAGAAGTGGATGGAAGAGGATTTATTTGTGTAGACAATGGGGAAGGCCGAGGGGTTTTATTTTGAGGTTTTCTGCTAGTGCTCCTACCCCGTGTAGAAGTTGACAACTTACCAGCAGAAACAGATGCAGGAGTTGGATTTGAGGGGCAGAGAGATGAGGAGTGAACTAAAGATTTGTAGAACTTGCAAGGAGTGGGCCGCAACTCGTATTGGACTTTGAGACTAAAGATATCACCGTCCAGAGAGATAGGAATTTCTTCTGGGTATTTTGCATCACAATCAACTTGAACGCACACCCTAGCATAGGTAAGTTGAGTTTTTTGAGCTATGAGAGTGTCAACTGCAAGGGGTCTGACCATTTTTCTGGCTATTCTAGAAATTCCTTTAGAGTTACAACATGCAAGGGGCAAGTAATGTATCTTAACCCAAATCAACACATTGGATAAATTTTCCCTCTTAGGACGGAAACGATGATGCCATTTTTGTAAAACAAAAGGTCTGCCAAGGAGGAACCAAACCCCTCTATTCCATACCATGTCATAGTCTTCAAAGGAAGTAAAACGCAACAGAAAAAAATCCATCACTAAGTGATAGAAGTTTTACCGAACCTTTGATCGACCAGGTTTTCCTGATAGTTCCAAGCAGGACTTCATAAAATGGTCTCCTCCCCAAGAAATTTTATTGAGTGTGGAGTGCGGACATAGCTCTGTGTGTGCAACCAAATTGTTTGCCTCCACGTGGAGCCCACCTTGCCCCACCAATCTCAAAAGCACGTGTGTTTTTTCACTTCGCGGCCCGAGGACCCGATCCGCCCGAATAATTGAAAAAATGCGCGGTAATACCTAGGGCTATATTAGATGGTGCCTGTTTTTTACCTCAGTTAAAACATTTTTCTCATAACTTGAAAGCTCATAAAGCAGGAGAAGAGAGAAAGGTATGAAAATGAAGATGGATATTGTGCTGGAGGACATAGAAGACTGGTCGGAGATGAAAGGTTTTACTCAAGAGTTACAGCTTAGAGGAGGAGAAGTTTTGCAGCAGAATACCCAACATAACTTGGATATATTATCGGTAAATATGATATGCATGTCGTGACTTATTCAGTGTTTAGTTGAATAATTTTTGTTTTAAAATATATGTATTGGTGGTCAGATGGTATCGTTTGGTACTATTTTTAAATGGTCAGTACTTCTTGGTATCACTAGGTATCGTTCGGTATAGGTCGGTACTGCTAGGTACCGATGTTATTTTAAAGTTGTCTATTTCCAATGTTAAATTCGAAGTGGTTCTTATTCGTAGGTTGTCTGTAATAGTGAGAAAGAGGCATATGAAATTTACTGCCATTACGCGCACAATGTTAGTTTTAGTGTTCGCAAAGATCATCACTGTTACTGGCCTAATTTGAGAAAGATAAGGATCAAAGATTTTGTATGTTCGAAAGCTGGATTTAAGAAGGGCATTGACTTGAACGCCAAATTAAAATACCGGAAATCCAATACTAGGACTGGGTGTCCCGCAATGATTAGATTTTATGTTGACCATGGTGGGGAATGGAAGGTTCAAAAATGCATTGAGAGCTACAATCATGAGTTAGCAAGGCCCGAAGATCAACATTTACTGAGATCATACAGGAATATTAGCGAAGAGAAAGCATTCGTTCTTAAATCAATGATGGATGCCGAGATTAGAACTATTGATGCATTTACATACTTAGCTGATGAAGTCGGTGGAAGGGGGTATGTACGTTTTTCCAAAAGAGATGCATATAACTTTGTTCAGAAAGGGAAAAGAGGCAAGATTGAGACTGTGGACACCAATTCCCTAATTGAACTTTTTAAAGATCGAGCAAATAGTGATAACATGTTTGCTTGGGAAGTCCAATATGATGAAGAGGACAGATTGATGAATTTTTTCTAGGCTAATGGTGTGGGAAGAATATATTACGATTGCTTTGCAGATGTTATCATTTTTTATACCAGCTATAGACTGAACAAATATAATCTAGCTTGTGCACCTTTTGTTGGAGTTAATAATCATTGGCAGAATGTTCTTTTGGGGGTTCCATTTCTGTCGGAGGAAATAATAGAATCATTTACATGGTTGTTTAGAACATTCTTGCGAATAATGGGTGATAAACATCCCCTTACAATTTTTACTAACCAGGACCAGACAATGTCTTGGACAATAGAAATTGCATTACCTCAAACACGTCATAGGCTATGCCAATGGCACATCACCAAGAAACTTTCATCCAAGTTGCATTGTTACAACAGCAACAACAAGGTTAGAGGTCTCATTTATAAATATTTGAGCAAGTGTGATTCAGAGGAGAAGTTTGATAGTTGTTGGATTGAAATGCTAAATGAAGGTGACCTTCATAACCATGCCTGGTTGAAAGAACTTTACAAAATATGGCAGAAATGGTCCACAGCATACAACAAGACTTGTTTTAACCTTGGTATTCTTTCAACAAAGTATAGTGAATCCACTAACAATGTGTGCCACAGAATTTCTAAGCCTACTAGTACTATTACTGAGTGTTTTTTGGGGCTAGAGAATGTGATGAAGACATGGCGTTGGAATGAACAAGATGAAGATTTCAAATGCAATCAGTCCAATGTTGTACCTTTAGTTAAGAGTAGTCCAATTCTTAGGCAGGCCGCACATTTTTATTCATGTAAATTGTATTCTTTCTTTGAGTTCTTACAAGGTGTGGGTGCGATGCGCATAGCTCATGCCTCAACTGACTTATCAACTTTTTTTTTTATCAAAACTGTTGAGAACAATGATCAGCCTCACCATTGGACTGATAATTTTGATGATAAAGAAGGTATCATTGAATGAAGCTGTGGAAAATTTGGCATGATGGACATACTGTGTTCTCACTGCTTGAGAGTGATAAGGCTGATTGATATAATTAATATACCTCCGAAATATCTATTAAAGAGATGGTCAGGTCGAGCTAGAAATAACCTTTACTCTGACAGGCCGATTACATCTATGGTAGCTACATGTAACCCCTCGAATGACATAGGACGTATGATGTTCTGAAATTATTTTAGTAGATTCGCATATCAAATAAGCACAAGAGGGCAAGGGAATGCGGAAGTAGTACAATACATAATTGATGCAATGTTTGAGATTGCTGAGAATGCAGATTTTATAATAGATGCCAAGAAGAATCATAAGTTTATTACGAATTCAAGCATGCCAAATAAAATAAAAGACCCTATAAAGAGCAGGCCCAAAGGAATTTCAAATGCAAGGTTGAAGAGTCATTGGAAGAAAAGAAAACCAAAGAAGAAGAAAGATGAGGAACAACCTACTCCTTCAACTGAACAGTGTACACCTGTGGAACCAATTAGTCAAGTTTCCTTTGCAAACATACCAAAATGCTTCACATATGAGTGGACTCTTCGTCGACCAAGCAGCCAGTCGAACCCTAAATATATAGAGATGATGAATGGACTAATTGATGCAGAAAGGCTTGGATAAATATTGAAAATTTCTTCATTGGCATAATTTGAATTCTGCTATTTCTGTAATTGTTTTTGTTTTTGTAGAAACTTCTCGGTACCGCTCGGTACCATTAGGTACCGGTCAGTACCGCTCGGTACCTCTCAGTACTGATCGGTACTATTTGTTGTGATATGGTATTTACTTTGTTTGTTGAAATTAAAGTTGGCAGTTGTACTGGTTCACATATTTAAGATGGGTTGTTGTGATATTAACTGTGGTAGTTGAAATTAAAAGCTATATAAGTTGAGGCGGTTCATCTATTTATTTACATTTTTCCTCTATGGTTTATAAACTACGTTGGCCGGATATAAAACTGCATCTAGGCTTGCCGATTAAAGAATTTGTCGAGCTTGGTACAATTAGAATGCATTACTGCGTGGATGCGGTTGCAGACTGTCAACTTGAGCAACAAGCTAGATGGAATGAAATATATAGATGTTGGTGTTCATACATGACATGTTCGTTGTGATCGTTTGCTTCAAGTAGCATGGAGGGAACAGATAGCTATTGAGGCTAATAGATCAGGCTTCTTCTTAAATTCTGCAGGTTGGAGTGCTATCCAAAAGAATTTTTTTGGAAATCATCATCACCTTGCCAATGTTCATTTCTTGCAGCAGCGTTATCATGAGCTAACTTGTAAAAGCAAATCAACAAGCTCTGATTATGTGGTTAGACGACCTACTGATGTTGATAATGTAATTCTTTACCACACTTGGGATCCAGCTGAAGAAAGGTTTTTAGTTGATTTGTACAAGCAATTACTAAATCAACGAGAGTATGGGCGCAAGCGGAAGAAGTTTTTGGAATTCAGTGATTGACAAGATTTATAATTTGAGCTTATGAAAGAGTTTGGATGTTGTCCTACACAAAGTCAACTCCAACAACGTGTTCACTATCTACTTAATAAGTAAAACTTTATTAATGTACTTAACTATTTACAAATTTACAATAGTTAAGTTATATTTACAAATTTACAACGTTACTTCTACTATCATTTAAGCATCGAACATAACAGCGTGAATGCAAGTTCTGATCTAAACTTAGGCATTTCAGCTTATCAGTTTAATAGTAATTCCCACTTAACATATTGTGGTTGGATTACAGTTTCCATGTATTTGCAAAAGAACATCCCACAGTCGTATCCGTTTGTTTGAGTTGGAATTCCCTCAGCTACCTAAACTGGCCATGATCTGATATCATTTTCAAAACTATCTTGAGTTTCCTCGTATAAATGATTTATCTGTAATAAAAGTCAAGTTGTTAATATCTACGAATGCGTACAACAAACTTAATATGTACAACACTTCACTTACAACATTTGGAAGCACAGCCCAATGCATCGAGTTAGGCAACGAATCAAAGAAAAACCAAGTTGAGTTCTTCAAATAAGCAACCAGAAGTGTCCAATGTTCGTTATCATGTATTGACAGCAGAAGGAAATTTGAAGCAGTCACTACATCCTTGGTAATATGAGATACATATTGTTTGTTGTCCACATTATATTTTATAGAACCCTGTATGTTTAATCTGATAAGGAGAACTGTAAACATATACATTTATAAAATTAAAAATAACAATATTACCCAATGCATACTAAAAACAAAAATAAATTATTGATAAAGGCCAGGATGAAGTTTATTTTTCTCAGCTAACAAACTTGCAAAGGCATCGATGTGGTTGTTGTCCAGATATTGGTTCGTTAAAAGTTCATCAATCTGACTTCTGAAAATATGAATGTTTCCTGCAGTATAAATTGTATCGTCCCTGTAAAATATAAGAGGCCAACGATTGGTACATATCTGTACCAAACGGTACCGAGCGGTACCGAGCAGTACCGAGTATTACCGAGCAGTACCTATTAGTATATTTCTCAAGGCAATCGTCGATAAACATTCTCATCTCGTCATTTATCATTTCTCGCCCAGAATAATCTATTTTTGTTGGAGCTGGTCTTGTTTGGGGCGATTTCAAGGTATCTACATCAATTAGAGTATCTGTAAGAATTGTCTTTGATGGGGACGGCCTAGCTGCGGTTTTTTTTAGCATCTTTCTCTTATATTATCCCTTGGTGTAAGGTGTCTTGACCTCTTTTGCTTTACGGTCTGCCCTACATCTCACCCTTTTTGCTATGCCTGAGCTGCATGGTTCAAATTTGGCAACATCATCGATAGCAGCAGGCAAAATTGATGTGTTATCCTTAATTGGGACATTATGTTTTAATGGACATTCAGCAACGACCTACTCACACACAATTTTCTTCCTCTCATCAGTCAGAGTCCTGGAGGAAGATTAAACATGTACATCCGAAGTCGATGAGGGGTTAAATGTTGGAAAGTTCTCAGATAAGAACAGCTCCATCGCTTCCAATCTCTTAATCATCTCGCTCTGCTCAAAAACATGAAGTTCAATTGCCTCCATTCTTCGTTCATTCAGAGATATTGTTATTTCCAAGCTTACTAAACTTTTCTGAAGAAATTTATTTTGATCCAAAATCTTATGCAGATATTCAACTCTATAATCATGGTGTCCATCAGTTGGGGAAGTTGGTTGCTGCTGCTGCTGCCCAGGTGACATAGGTGGTGTTTGGGTGCTAGGTGAAGCTGGGCTGATTGGGCTTGGGGGCGGCCTGATTGGGCTTGGGGGCGGCCTGATTGGGCTTGGGGGCGAGCCGTTTGGTCTTGGAGGACTCGAGGGTGTAGGTGATGTTGAAGGTGACGAATTTATACAAGAGGTTTGTGCAAGATTATTTGATTATTAGGGAATCTGTTAGGTGATGTATGTGGGGGACGATTTGCTAATAAATCCCTCTCCTCACTTATAATTGCATCAAAAGAAATTAATAAATTTGCAGCTTTAAGACCTTCAAATAAACTAGAAGCCTCTGCATCGTTATAAACTACATCACAACCCCATCGGAGATACCTTGATCTTATTTTTTAATTCAATGGTTTGTGGATTGTAGAGTGTTCTAGAAACCAAATCTAAACTCATACATAACAATAGAAATTTAAAATATATCTACAAATATTCAACATCATTAATAAATACAAAACTAATTAAATTCAATGTACTCACTATTATAATATGAACAAAGTCATTCAAGTAACGAAGTGTTTGTCCTTTGCTCATCTTTTTGGCAATTGCATTAAAGTCAGCCACAAGGAATTCTCTAATTGATTCAGGCTAATTGTGAGATAAAAATTTGTCAACATTTTGAGCCACGCTAATGATAGATGCTAGTGTTCGATAGTTATGCAGAGGAAAAAAAAAGATTTGACAACAAAAATATGATGAATTTCTTCAAAACATCGGGCATTGGAGTAGATTCATCTAAACTAATTACATCTTTCCTATTATCATTAGCTAATTTTCCAGTGATTCTAGCGCTACCTATTTCAAAATTATTTCCTCTGTTTGGTAAGCCTAATATCATAGCAACTTCATCAGCAGTAAATGTTAACTTCTGCTCCTTAATGATAAAGCATTGCTTCTTAATGTCCCAGCACGACAACAACCTGAATACCAACAGAACATTCTGTACAAAACGTCGCATAAAAAGAAAGTGATGCAGATTATTTTGCTTCAAACTCTCCACAAGATTTTCGCCAAATATTTCGACTAAATGATCACAAACTTCTCTAAAAGTTGACGTTCTGCAATGGAAGCTAATCTTCGAAACATATCCCTACGTAATATGATGCATTTGATTAGGAAAAATTTCATTACAGTCAGGTTCTTCTCGGTACATCTCGGTACCGAGCGGTACCGAGAGGAACCGAGAAGTACCTTGCGTTTACCTACAAAAACATGAAGGTACCGAGCAATACCGAGAGTCCATACAAAGCGGAAAAAAAAAAAAAAATCTAACGACAAACCCTGGAACTACAAAAACTTATGGAACTTACAATGCTTACCGAAAATACCCAGCGTAACCTACTGGGTACCGCTTGGGTACACATTCGGAATACCCAACGATACCCAGCGGTAAAAGCCACACAACTTACCGAGCAAATAGCAAAAACAACATTCAAAACCTAAAAACTGATAGTTACATTCAAAACCTAAAGACTGATAGTTACATTCAAAACCTAAGAACTGATAGTTACATATAACTAAAGAAGAAACATATCTTGCCCATTTAGACGATGAAGACTCAAGATTCTTTGTGTAGAAGATGAAGTTGCTTCGTGTGGAAGATGAATAATCGCCTGCAACTTCTCCTTGTGGAAGAATGGACTGTAGACTAGCAAATCGACCGAAAAAGTAAAAATGGAAAAGACGTTTCGGATCTTCTCGAAGAAATGGGTACTGCGCATTTTTTCAATTATTCGGGCGGATCGAGTCTTCGGGCCGCGAAGTGAAAAAAGCAAACGTGCTTTTGAGATCGGTGTGGTCAAGGTGGGCTCCACGTGGCGGCAAACAATTTGATTGCACACAGAGCTACGTCCGCACTCCACACCCAATAAAAATTCCCTCCACAGAGAGTAGCCAACTAGGCACAAGCTCCAGCCTTGAGCACCAGCCAACACCTTCTCCCCAGAGAAGGGAATCACCTCAGGTTCCTCGGGGAAGAAGGAAAGCAGAATGTGTTCGATCGCAACATCAGACGGCTCAAAGATGTTATTCCAGCACGAAGACAAGAAACAACAGCACCACTACTCCCAGAAGGGAGAGGGGGAAAATCATAGGCATAAGAGGTGGGATTCATGTGAGAAGAGTAGCCTCTGACAGACCAGGAGGTGACGGCGGGAGAGGGAAAGCAAAATCGTAAGGGAAAAAATCCTAGCATAGCAAAAAGTACTTCTATTTGTTGTTTTCTTGCCCTTCCATCACTATTTATATTTAAGTATGAGAGGCAAATGAGTAATTTCAAGTCATCTTCTCCATTCTGTTTTTCCTGCTTTTCTGTCTTTTGTTTCTGCTGCTGCTTGTTTTAATGCACAGCAAAGGATCTGAAAAGCTTTTCATTAGTATCCTGATATTAGTAAATATCCAGAATCTTGAGAATGGATGCTGCAGAAGAATCCTATTCTGACTGACCTGCTTAACCGGAGATATATGAAACCAAAATAGAAACAAACGAATACGAGTTGTTAACTTCATATGCCAAACATACTATATTATTATACTACGATATAACTGACGGATTATTTTTGTAATGATAAAGAAATGGAACATCAAAATAACAGCTTTCGCCAACATCTCCAAATTTGCGGGTCATCCGAATAACGAATTTCCCAATCAATTAATTTGAGCATAAAAATTAACAAACATAGAAATGTAAAATAAATTTATTTTAAGACTTCTGACTAATAACCAAGTGGACTACATGAAAGTAAATTTTTTATTGACTGCACGTAGACTACTAAGATATTTAAAATATACAAGATAAGAAATAAAAAATACTCATTTTCGCTCACAGCAATCACCCTAAGATTGAAAATAACTTCAATAAAACAGAATGGTAAAAATTCTTCTTTCTAGTAGATACAGCTTGCAGTCTTGGTCACCCATCTCTCATTAAAGATTCAAGAAGTGCAGCTTCTTCTTCCTAAAAATGGACATCAGAATTTTTATCAAACAGAGAACAGAAGGCAAGATCTGTACATGAAAACATGTCTGTATTAAATCTCTTCAAAACTTCCACACATTGAAGTGATTATGAATGTGCATAAAAACTACTATTTAAAAACAAACACATATTTATGCTTTGGACCTCTTGGCATGGTGAAAAATCTCTTAGATCATTTTTTTTTAATCTCTTAGATCAATTATGATTTTTGGCGCAATGCATGGATCACAAAGCAAATTAAAATGACCAAACCAACACTCAATTTATCTTGAAAAAATAAAGCTTAGTTTGATATTGCTTTCTTATTATTTTCTAATGAAGCTTTTTAGTAAAAAAATATTTATTGAACAAGGAATTTTTGCATTAAAAAAAATTTATAAAGCAGTAAAAAAACTATTTCAAACAAAATCTTAGCCAAACCCCAAACGAGCTCAAAACAAAGAAAAAATACTTCTACTTGGAATGCCTATTGCAGGGAATCGATAGACACCAATATCATGCAATTGGATGCACAAATATATCTGAATGAGCAAAACTTAGATGAGCTGATCCAAACTTAACTTAGCAGCCACTCCACTACTTCTTGCTTAGTCTTGCCTATTCATGCAGAACTAGCACTTGTGACCGCTGAGCAATGCGTTGTTGTTAGGTCATGCTAGCACATGCTCAGTATTCTACAAATAATCATCTGTAACTGTTTAGCTTCTCAAAATTGTTATGACCTCCAAAAACCTTCATTTCATGCTTCATTCAACATAAATAACTCCTCTTGAAAACATAAACATCTCAATATAAAAATTTTAACACACCATGGCCATTTTCGAACAACCCAAATTAGAGCAAACAATATTTTTGGAAACTGTCTTATCAATCTGGCAATCTAAATTATGTTGTTGGTCATGCTAAACTCAATTGTATTGAGATAAAGGTGGTATGCCAAGATCATGTTAGTAGCACCTACTGGTAGACCACTAATAACAGTAATAGTTGCCGCCCCTCCAATTGTATTGAGATTAAGAAGATGGTTTGCCAAGATCGTGCTAGGAGCAACTACTGGTAGACCACTAATAACAACAATTGATAACCCCCCCAATACACACGAAAAACCAACATCGACTGGTCATACTTTTGATCGTATGAAGATATTAACATTTTACAAAGAACGATTGAGAGTCATTATGATAGGAAACACTTAAAGATTTCAAGTAAATCCAATCTATTTCAAACAAAATAGTGAAAGAACTCTTCCAAACTCCAATGAAAATCAGAAAAATAATTATTTTTATTGCAATAATCAAACTAAGGGAGGGAAATAACAAGATATATTTGATCCTTTATTCGGGAGGAGGATCAATCTCTCCCAAATCTCTAAATGCCGCTAAAGCCCATGAAAAATCTCAGAGATCTCAAAATTCAGCCAAATTCAAGATGCCCTAACCCAAGGAAAACAAACTATTTAATGCATACAATCAAAAAGGAAATCTCTAAGAAATCCATACATTCAAATTTCCCTCCTAAATCCCTTAAAAATCCTTCCTAAATAACTTTTCTGGATCCTGCAATTGTGTGGTTCCGCCTCCAATACGTTTAGCCAATCCCGTATGGACCGACTAGATTGGTCCAATGGAATGGTCTAACACATTCTCAAAATCAATAAATCACACTCAATTCGTTTCATTTCAAGCATTTGGAATGATGAAACATCCAAAAGATCCTAGAGAGTTCTTGATCATAACAAACCACCAGATCCCTAGAGAATTCTAAAGTGCCGAAAATTGCCAAGACCCTCAAGGAGTTTCTACAAGACATCCTCAAGGTCAAAACAATAACCTCACTTGACCTACAACAACACAGAGTATTTTCAACAATAGTGAAATAATAGTCAAACAAATTTAGATATCTCAGCACCAGTGAAAATAAGCGACTATTTGTCTTGGAAGTAAAAAAGCATGCTAATGTACATGAGAATCTTTTGTTTGATGAATGAAAAAAAAAATGATTGCATAAATCCCATATGTCACAACTAAAATCGATATAACCCGCATATAGAATAGGTCATACAAGATAGAAATTCTATGACCTAATTGGAGATAATTGCAAAAATATCCAAGTGATCTATATTACATACTACAAAGCCACTAAATTTCAGAAAAGACAAAAGTACTCATCATTAAAAATTCCTTTCGTTCATCTCAGATATGTTTACAATCAAAACAATGATCTACAAATAGTGCATAACACAAACAATATAGAGCAGAATAGAAAAAGCCTTGAAAGTCAAATTCTAACCAGACATATACCTATACAAACATAGATCTCAAAATGTTCTACCTTTCTATACTCGCCCTACTCCTTCCCCTTATTCTGATCACAGATGTAGAAAATATAAGTATGTGCAAACATAAATCAGCAGGTCACATCTAACCTATCTAAATCTTTAATAATATCAATTTGCATAAATGAAGCAAAAACAGTAAAGTAAGTTTATCCATACAGAAGTTTAATTAGGTTGTTCAGAATAAACAGATATCTATAGAATAGCAAATAATAACTCTAATAAACCAATCATAAGTAGCAGAGTAATAACATAATAGAACACTGAACATACAAAATCCATTTCTCAAAACAGAACATTTCTCTCAAATGCTTATACCTCCCAACAGCTATCAAAATTCAAAATTCATACCTTTATAACTCCTTGTGCTAGCATATCAAATAGCATGCCTTTATAACTCATAATATATAGAATCATAGATATCCGAAATTCATAGGCCCGTATAACTCTCGACAAATAGTACATCAAAATACAGTACGAATCATCAAAATTTTTCCAAAATTTATATAAACAAATATTTAAACATAGAAATAAATGCATTTTCACATATAAAATACAGTATCAGAATTCACAGAGTGTACTAGTGGCAACAAAGCAGACAAACTCAAGAAAAACTCACAAAATTTCACATTTTCAAAAATTTACCAAATTACTGTAAGTCTGAATAGGTTATTAGATCTAAAGCAATTGCCCCAATGCTAACCAAGAGGGGGGTTAAATGGTAATTTAAAATTTTCTTGGTAGATTAAAAAAACCGTTTTGTAATTTTATAAGCACAATGAAATTTTTATCAAAATAAAATTTTCAACCACAAATTAAAAGTGAACTAAAAAAAATGCAACAACAACAACAACAACAACATCAAGCCTTTATCCCACTACGTGGGGTCGGCTACATGAATCCATTTTCTCCATTGTGTCCTATTAAAAGTCAAATTCTCGTTTAAATCTAATAAAGAAAGGTCATTCCTAATATTTTCTAACCAAGTCTTTTTAGGTCTACCCCTACCTTTCTTAACATAAGTCAAATCTAATACCTCTACTCTCCTAACCGGGTCATCGCAAGGCCGCCGTTTTATGTGACCAAACCATCTAAGGCGACTTTCTCTAATCTTATCTTCTACTGGAGCTACTCCAACCTTTTCACGTATATGCTCATTTCGTATCCTATCTCGAAGACTACCTCTTCAGTCTCTGAAGACCTATGTCCACTCTCTGGACATAGAGAAATTTATAGTGGTTCGGTCCAACAAGACCAATGTCCACTCTCTGAAGACTACCTCTTCAGGTATTGCACTATTCCAAAGTAATTCTCCTTTTGCTCCCACAGCAAGTCAGAGAAGCCCTTACACTTAACATTTCTTCTACCAATTCTCGGTGCGGCGAAGAACCGTAGTCCTTTCACACTCTCTTGGTCTCAGCAGAGAACCGTAGTCCTTTCACACTCTCTTGGTCTCAACAGAGAACCGTCTTCCTTTCACATCCTTCGAAAAATTTCCTTCAAGAAACTTCAAGAGAGAAGGGAAAACCTTTTAAGAACAAGCAAGAGATACTCACCATTGTGCAACCTTGCAAATCCCCTCACAATTCCCTCTTTAGAAATCTCTCACTCTCCAATTATAAAAACTCTCCCAAACACTCTCCAAGTGCACCCTCAAAAGAAGTTTGCAATAAAAAAATCGTAGGTGTTCTTAGACGATAAGTTTTAAGAACTCTTATACATGAATGACACAAAAAATCGTCCAGAAAATTGAAAATTTCAATTTGACCATCATGGATCGTATAGTATGATCGCACGTTGTACGTAAGATCAGTTCAAAAATTGCTCGGACGATCCTGTACGAATCGATTTCAAACATTGGTTGGCGTATGTATGAACCGACATCATACAATACGATCAGTTCAAAATTGAACCGATTCGTCCGGTACGATTCTATGCAAACCGATTTCGTACTCTGGATAACGTACTGTACGAACCTTATAACATACAGTACGATCTGTTTAACCAAAATCATGTTTCATTTGATAAGACAATGGACAAGTCCATTTCGTACTCTGGACGTCGTCTGTACGAACCTAAGATCGTACAGTACGAATGTGGGCTCCAAAAATTCGGCCACGGCCTCCCCGCCGCGCGATTTCTTTTTATTCAGCAAGGGGGAGTATTAACGGATAAGTTCCGAGGTAAATTTGGGAAGGCAGATGGGTTTGTAGATAAGACACTACCCAGAGATTTTGCCCTCATTTTGTGAGGACTTTATGATCTGAGTTCTGGTTTCCTATAGGCGCAAGCCCCTATAGTTAATTACCCCTCCCGATCACGAGAGAGAACTTTCGATTAAGGCTAGTCGTCAATCAGATACGTATATATGAGTATTGCACATTTGAATACACATTTGATTTCAGAGCTTATACACGCCTTCTGTCCGCTAATATGAGTGTTGCGGATCCGGTGACGTTGGATTGTAGATTGTAGACGACTTCTGTCTGCTTGTATGAGTATTGCAGATCCGGTGGTGTTGGATTCTTGGTGTTACGAGGCGTCTTCTCATCTTTTGATATTTTCTCCCCTTTTCTCATTCACCGAGGAAGGATTTTCTGGATTTTGGAGTCAAAGACTGCTGATTTGAAAAGAACTCCTTTTA